ACCTTTTTCAAGAATCTTAGCACCATTCTTTTGAAATGTAACCATCAAGTCTCTAGGTGTACAGGAGTCTTACTTCTTTGATAAGCACCAATTAGCAAACACAGATGACCCAGTTACTGGAAAAAATATTTAAAAATTCAAGAAGTAACTGAATATGTTCAGCATATCCTATTACTCACCCTCACCCATGAATATCCTTTAGTAGTCTATCTCACTTGCTTAAAAACACTGCCATCCCGTTTCAATGGAGTTGAATTCAGATTTACTTCTGTTTTCATACCCTTATTGCTGTAGCCTTGAATAATACCTTCTTTGCCTTTTTATCTTTGTATAGTGCAATTTTTTTCTTAACAAAACCTTCCCAAAACTGTTACTAATTATTATATTTCTCTTGCCCACAGTTTTTGTCTACTTCTATTTTGACTTTTCAGTTTCTTTCTCAAAGACAAGATTTATAAAACTGGGTTTAAAAATAAAGTTCAATTTGAAATGGGTGCTTCAAAGGGATTCATGACAGACCTACCAATGTAGCCCTCTTGTATGACATGAACAGCATTTCTCAATACCAGTATTAAGGTACATATAATAAATCTCAAAGAAAAATCTAGGAATTAACCAAGAAAAATAAGACTTCTGTGGAGAAAACATTAAAACTCAAATAAAAGGAAATAGAAAATGTTTTACAAAAAGACACCCGACTTTAAGGGAAAAAATATTTACACATCATACATCCAACAAGAGGCTCATATTCAAGATACACAAAGAACTCAAATAAGTCTCTTGAGACCAACAAATTCTAACAGAGAATGAAAAATTATTCATTGCAAATATTTAACATATCACAAACTCAACAGTCTAAAATTAAAATATGTGAATCTGCACTATATTTTCCACTCAATCAATTTATTGTGGGCCTGATTAAGATTGTTCAATACTTTAGTGCATTAAGAATTATTAAGACTAAATACATCACCTAAAACTAAATCATTACAAAGCCTATGTCCTAAAAATGATCCTATGCCTGCAAGAGATAGATTAAAAGTGATTAATGACTCTTAGTTGAATATTATCATTTACTGTAATTGAATTACTTTAAGAATTTGACCCAGTAATATGTTATTATTAAATATACACAGAACAGTACAAGTAAAACATGCTGGGGAAACAATGTCTTTGACCTTCAAAAACTCAGTTTAATTACTTAACCAATCCAATTTATGATCAACAATGCAGAACAGCATCTCATTGTAGGATTCACGTGTACGCCATATGTACTACATTTGGACCACTTCCAGGTTATTTCCCCAATCCACATATATCATGACATATATCAAATGTCTCTCATGGCTGCATACTTGAATTCTGGATGCTACTTATACCTATTATTATTTTTCTCAAAATAACCTACTTTCAAGATTAGCAAATTACTGTATCCTCATCAAAATTTATTTGGGGCGGGAAGGGCAATTCTCATTTAATGTAGTTTCAATTTTCTATAACTGTTTAATCAACTACAGAACATTTGTCATACTATAAAGTTATAGAGTATATAGCAATATAATTGGATTGAAATATCTCAAAATAAAGCTGCTTATTAAGGAAAAAACTGCTTATTAAGAAAGTTCGTGATTTACAAGACTGATATATAGAATTGCAGTAACATGTTCTTCAGATATATTTGTTCTCATCAATCTGACAGATTTTTATCAGTCTTTATCAGAAGGGATTTACTTTTGACATTTTTTGATGACTTCACACAGGTATTTTTAGATATAGTAAAATTCACCCATTCAAATTTACAATTCAATTTGTAGTAACTTTATGAAGTGGTTAGGCCATCATCATAAATTATTTTTACTATATTTCCTTCCCCTAATAATATCTGTTATGTTCATGTACAATGAATCACTGTTCCTACCCCAGCCCCAGGAAACCACTAATTTACTTTCTGTCTTATAAACTTGTCTTTCTTTGACATTTTAGATAAAAATATAAACTAGATTTTAGGTATTAGACTTAATCTATTGAGAGAAAGGAGCTAAAGCACATGGACAGTGATTCATTTCCCTCATCATTTGGTACAGGAGAGGGTGACTCTCCTGGTGAAAGCATGTGTCCCTATTTAATCATATAAAATGTTGATAACCAGACTAACTGGTAAGCAGAACACTGATATTTGATAATAGGATTATCCTTACCCATGGAAGGCTCTGAGGAAGAAGTACATGATTTAGAACAGTTGAGGGTAATCAAATATAGGGTCTATAGATTTACAAGGGAAAATGTCACCTGGAAAAGGTGACCATCAGGCTATAAAATGAATATATTTCATAACCGAAAGGCTGTATTCTACCCATAAAGCCTACGGGTGTACTCAAACTGCGAGTGGTAGGTTGAGTACAGCAGAGAACTGGTCATTTCTTCCCAACACAGTGACCTAATGATAAGCATTTCTCCAAATACCTCTATTCACATTAACAAGACCTACATTACTGACTAAAGCTCTTTCCCATTTCTGCTTCTTTCTATCATTCCTTTCATTGATGTCAGATTTATATCATGGTCTAAAAGCTTTCATTGCCCAATTAATACTTGTTTCCCTTTTAGCTTCCACATGTATATCTCTCAATAAAGCTTGTTATGGACTTAATAGTAAATTTTTCTTCCTAAAATCCACACATTGAAACCCTAATCTTCAATGTGACTATATTTAGAGATAGGATTTTAAAGCAGGCAATTAAAGTTAAATAAAGTCGTAAGAGTGGGGTCCTAAGTCAGTATGACTGGTGTCCTAATAAGAAGAGACTGGGGTGTGTGTGCAAAGAGAAAACTCCATTTGAGGACACAGCAAGAAGACAGCCATCTATAGGCTAAAAAGAGAGGTCTCAGGAGAGACCAAACCTTGATCTTGAATTTCTAGCCTCCACTCAATGGATGATGTGGAGGAGGTGAACTCAGAGTCTCACTTTTCCATCCTTTTGCCAGAGATCTTAAGGAATTTCCAGTTTTCCATTCAAAAAAGTCAATTGTGTTATGTACTTAATATTATCTAAAAATGTTTCATCTAAATATTATATTCTAAGCCAAGAAATACTTTACAAAATTTTAACAAGATCTCAGTCTGGTGCCTGAAGTAAGGATTCAAAACAGTCTCAATTTTGCTTTTAGAGTTTCTTTTTTCATTATCACTGGCCAGGAAAGAGGAGCAGAGGAAACAAACTCTCTTAAAAATGAGTCAACACTACCCTTAATGATGACTCTTGAGCGAGTGTTACAGGGATGTTTGCAGTGATGGTGGTTTCAGTAACAGGGGGCAGCAATAGCAAGTGGCCAAAACTTCCTACAGGGCACCCTCACAGTGGTCTTCCCAACTCCAGGCACAACTGTCTTGAGTCCTGCTCCTCTTCCAAAACTAGATGTCTTTTGGGCCTCACTGGTGGCGTGAGGGGTTAAGACACAACCTATGAAGCTGTCCTCAGTCTCTGCGGCAGGAATTCAATCCCCTGGCTGGCCAGGGAGCTACCCACATGGCACAGAAGACCTTTCCTGACTTGCCCGCTGCTCCCTTCAGCAGTGTATGTCGGTCAATCTGCCTGTTCTGTTCTCCACTGTCTCTGGTGAATGCTCTCACCACCCACATGTCTGGCCTGTACCCCAGTTCTTATATGCATAAATACATAAAATCTTAAAAAAAAAAAAAAAGACTAGATGTCTTTTGTACTCCATAAAACTCTATGAACTTGGAAAATTTTTTGAATGGGTTTTTTTCTTAAATCAATCACAACTGATTTACATTTCTAAGCAACAGAGATAGACTCCCCCTGATTCAAACAACAGGAATAGCAAGATGCCTCAAAGAGGAATTCCACCAAGTTTACACAATCACACTACAGGGATTAATAGTAAACAGGAGGTGGAACCACGCTCTAAGTTTATATTACTTGATAGTAATTACTTATAATTTGTTAACAGTAACTGTGCTGCTAGTGTTCCAAAATTCTGGCAGGACTCAGGGAAGAAATATGCCACCCATCCACATATAAATCTAATGCAATGCTAGTTTAAAATGCAGTGCCTGAAGACCACTCCAGAAATGAATTAGAATCTTAAGAGGGAATCTGAGAATCTGAATTTAATTAGCCACGTATTGATATTTATATATATGCAAATTAAAGTTTGAGAATAATTGGGTAGGTAAATGTTTTAAGATGTTATAAAGAAGACATTACACATGTTTCATTAATAGCAGCTAAGTTCTCTTCTTGATCTTTGATTAAATTTTTCTTCTTGATCCTTAGTATATTATGTTGCTGTATATAAAGAGCTAATACCTGACTATCCCCTTCTGGCTCTATAAACAATATATTTTACTTTAAAAACCATAAAATAGAAAGTATTTCTTCCTTATATCTCTCCTCTATATATACTCTTCTTCATATTCTCTTACATAGCAGTTTACCCTGATAAAACTGAAAATAAATAAATAAAAAGAGGGCAATAGCATATCATTCACAAACACCTGCCATGACATGTATCATTTAAGTGATAAATTGCATATATTTGTTAGTGGCTCAACAACTTGCTTATTCATTTACTTAGGAGCTTTCTGTCAGCATCCCTGATTTATTGCCCCAGGAAAACAATACAGTCCAAGACAAGAAAGATATCTATGTATATTTCTGAAACACAAGTTAAATTTTATTCTAGAATCTAGACACAAGAGATACAAGAGATTAAAATGAACAATGCAGGATTCTCTCATTTTTATAATATCAAAGTTAATAAGTGAACATAATATTTAAAAGAGGAAAAACAACTATTCCTTTTTTTAATAAAATGATTTATTCTAATAATAAGCTCCCTAAAAGCTCTTTTAGGCACCAGAGCCATAAGGATGAATGTGTGATATCAAATATGCCATTAGACATTTTAAAGAGTATTTGGCTGGGAAATCTCTATGGTTACAAAAACTGATCCTCTTTGTTCCTTCCCTTCCTTAGTCATCCCTTCAGGAAAAGTAAGAGAAAAGAGCAAGCATATATGAATGGGTCTCAGTACTACAGCTTGTGATGTTCATAGTCATGAGCAAAAATTAAAGATCTAAGCCTGTCTGGGTATTTTCTTCTGAGCCTCACCAGGTAAGGGTAAATTAGACAGACTAGAAACTTTTTGATTTAAATAAATATCAGTGTAAGAAAGATACTTTGATTCTAGTATAAGCTCTATCTCCTTTAGGTATAAAGAATTACATAATCTATTAAATATAGCCTAAGTGACCACCAGCAAATGATTAGCTAAAGAAGATGTGGTATATATATATATACATATGGAATACTACTCAGCAATCAAAAAGATACACTCATGCCACTTGCAATAATGTGGATGGGCTTAAGGTTATTATGCTAAGTGAAATAATTCAGATGGCCAAATACAATCCCACATGATTTCACATACATGTAGTGTGTGAAGAAACAAACAAATGAACTAAATAAAATGAAATTAACTTTTAGATATATAAAACCAACTTAGTGGGGCCTCCCTGGTGGTGCAGGAGTTTTAACGCAGTGCTGTGAAGCAGTCTGCTGCCTCTGCAGCCATGGTTCGATCCCCATCAGCCTTGGAGCAACCCACATGGCGAGCAGACCTTTCCTGTCTTGCCCACTGCTCCCCTCAGCAGTGTACTTCGTCAATCTGCCTGTTCTGTTCCCTTGTCTGTCTCTGGTGAATCTTCTCACCCTCCTGCATATCTGGCCTGTACCCCGGCTCTCGTATAAATAAAATAAATCTTTAAAATAAATACATAAATAAAATAAAACCAACTTAGTGGTTATCAGAAGGGAAGGGAAAGGGAATAGGACCAAGTCAGTCAGATAAAAAGGATCAATTACATGGTGAAGACCACAAATGGACTTTTAGTGAACTTCATGCAGTATATAGTTACTGATTTTTAATAATGGCATACCTGAAACTTATAGAATGTTAAAATGCAATGCCACTTCAATGAAATTTTTTAAAAGAAATAAAAATTTGTACATCAGGTTGAAGAACATAAAGCATATTTAACTTAAGTGTATGGCAGCACTTCAGAAAATAAAATGACATTATTTTTAAAATCCCAAAAATATACTGCCCAGCTCACTAAGTGATTAATCAGGGTTTGGGGAAAATCCTGTAATAATGATAAAGCACTCTTCTGCCCTGCCTTTATCTTCTAAACCTGTATCTCTTCACAAAGAAAACTGAAAAGGAGTTGGAAAACTGAAACAATGAAGGTTACTCTTAGAATATAAAATTGAAGAATTGACAGTCCTTAGTTCAAGTGAATTCTCTTTCAAGTGTTCCTCTCATTAGATTAGATAATAGACTTTTAAAAAAAAGGTTTGAGTTAAAGAAAAGTTTTACATGTATAAATATGTGTGTATCTGAACACAGATGAAAATTTATGATATATCTTCATTACAACAATAATTCAAAATTCTATCAAACGCTCTGCTCTGGGATATTGCAATGACAATGCACAGAACAATCTGTGATTGTAATACAAATAAAGAAAAATGGATGACACATTTTAAGTCAAAACCCTCATGTTTTATAATGTATTATGTATATATACTATGAAAGTTAATCCTCTTTGTTTGGCAAAAAAAAATTTTATTTTTTAAATTATCACACTAATATGGCAAAAAGATTATTGTTCTGATGTTCTAAATCTTCCAAGATATCTCATACCATGTTTACCTTAAAAAAAAAAACCTGCTACCCTAAAAAACCTATTTTATGAAAAATATAAGCAAAACTGTGTGCTCTTTACTTATATTACTGGCTACTGCTGTGCATATTCCATAAAAAATATTTAAATAACTGAAATCACCCATAACTCAGGGAAGTTTTCCCTGAAATGCATTCATTTTCTAGGGGAAAAAAAGGGGAAACAAAGAAATGCCCTATATATTACAGTCATTCTTTAATCTAAACTAGTAATTAGTAATATCTACATCACATATCCTATGTAATTAGAAAAAATATGTAAAACTTGTTAAAATATCCTACTTAGAATACCTGCTACAGAATTTTAAGAACCTTCTTTCACCAGAAGAAAGACAAACAGGCTCTTTCTTGGTTAAGAAATACTAGCATTAAGCAACAACCTGGTGTTCAGTTGGAAATAAAAAGGACAATTCAATTTGAGAAAAATCATGCAGAATCCACTGAAGTGGAAAAGTAGAACAGGCCAAAAATGAGTCATCGCCACCATAATTTAATGCCTGAATAGATGTCCTATCAGCAACATCTTCTCAGAACATATTAGATAATAGATACACAGAGGAGAGAGACTATAATTATTGCTTAATAGTACACCTACTGAATTTCCTTCATGCTAAGTAATAATAGCTTGAGTATTTTCTACATGGGTCTGCATTTCATTTAATAAGTGTTAATAATAATATCCAACAGCCAGTGAGTATTTGTGCCAGGCACTGTGCAAAATGTTTTACACATATTATCTGGTTTAATGTTCAGAGCAAGCCCACAAAATTCTATTAGCCCTATTTTTGCTGTTGAAATAACTGAATCTTAGACTAAGTAGACAAGAGTTCTTAAGGGTTAGAGGCAAAATTCAAAATTAGTCTCTCTAATTTAAAAGTCCTGCCTTATAGGCAATATGCTATCCTTCAAAAATAATATGTGATGCAAAAATTTTAAGAGGGGGAAAAGTGAGTCCCAGAATTTTTCAACAATTTTCAAAAAACTAATAATTAGTTTTTTCATTGACTCAAAGCTGCTTATGTTCTTTGACTATGCCACACACTACTGCTCTGTCAACAAAAAAGATAGCCAGGGTGAAAAAAATTAAGCTTCTGGAACAAGGACTGGGTTTGAAAAAGTAATCTCTAAAATGAGATGCAGATTTCACTATTTTCATTAATCCTTCTTTTATTTACAATTACAGCACTCTTGGAAGCAATGCAACAGCAGGAAGCAACATGCCCGAGTTTCATCACTCACCAGGCAGGGAAGAATAACAATTTCCAGACGAAACATTATTTTGAAATCACTTTGTGCTAAGATTGCCAGAAGAAGCCATGCCGACTTTGCAGTGAAAAAGCAAACACATGACTCGTGTTGAGCATAATAGTCAGTCCTAGGATCAGCAATGAATTAAAGGATTCAAATTCCAAACTGATAGCTAACACACAATAACTGTGCCTGTTAAAATCAGTTCCCTGATGCAGGGAACTGTTGTGGGTTTTTTTTTTCATTCTGAACATATTTTTCTCCTTTTAAAAATTTTTATTGAAGTAACAGGTTAGAATATTATATAGATTATAACAATATATAAAACAATAAATTATAACATATGACATAGAACATTATCTAAGTATATAATGACGTGTATCATTATAAATCAACATCTTTACATAGTACATTATGTTCACCACTAAAAGTCTTTTTTTAATAACTTAAGTACTGTAATGTTCAATTATTTTAAATGGTTTACATCTAATTGTTATACCAATTTCCAAATATCTCTCAAGTAATTTTAAAGTAGTTGCTATCATACAGCAACTACTTTATGATCCAGTAGTTTGGATAAAATTCAGAATGACTAGCATTATCACTAACTGAGAAAAATAGAGATAACACAATTACTTGGAGCATAAGTCACAGAAATACAGTAGTTAGGAGTTAGGGGACCTTCATGATGATCTTGTCTGACATTTTTCACCTAGTAAGAAAATTGAGGCTTATGGATTCAATTTTCTGAGTGAAATAGCTAACTAGAAAACTAACTAAAAAACAAAAAATCTAACTAAAAAAACTAAAAACTAAAAACTAACTAAAAAACTAAAATCTAACTAGAAAACTCAAGCATAGTTTTCTCCATATGAAACATCAACTACAAGAGTATAACACATCCTTTTTGAACTATTTATGAAGACAGGGGGGTAAAAAGAGGGGAAAAAGTGAGTCCCAGAATTTTTCAATAATTTTCAAAAAACTAATGGGGGGAAAAAAGAAATATTTATGAAAACACAGAATACAGATGAAAAGCCAGCAATGCAAAAATCAGACTTACAGTCAACCAAGCTATTGACAAACCTATGAAGAAATTTCACAAGATACAAGATACACAGTACTTTTTAATAACATAAGCATAAACTTGACACATGCTTTAACATTGCTAACAAAGTCAAACAACAGCAATACATTATACAAAAAGTTGGTAGAAGATACTTAGTCTTGTTCAAGAAAGTAAAACCTAAATTGGCATTTTACCTAGAAGACTATTTATTGTAGGGAGCACTTAGTGAAAGTCCAATTCAATGTATACAAAAGTATAGAATATTTAAAAAGTCAGTATTCCATTAAGGAGAAACAAAAATTCACAACACAGAAGTACAATAATCATAGCATATATGTGGCTCAGTTATAAAAAATATTTATATAAATAACAAACACTAAAAATTGAATAAAAGAGGCAAATGACTTCTCATATGACAAGACAAGATAAAATATGTGAACATGAGGGAAATAATTTTAAGCTTAATCCACATATTTTCATTGTCAAGTCAAAATAATGTCAAATTTTAAATTTTTTAAATTGTAATATAAACTTATAGAAATATGTCAGTATTACTTAAAGAATTAGCTAAAATATTTTACAGTGATTGCCTACAATGAAAAGAGTTAGGTGAGATAAATAAGATTATAGGAAAATAAAAAAAAATGGATTTGCAGAATAAAAAAATCAAGTACTTGATTGTACTTGATTCACAAAATCAAGTGAAATGGATCAATTTGAAGAGTGGAAATGCACACCATGTTATGGATTTTAGACAATATTGTGAATTTCCCCCAAAGTTATTCATAAATTGAATACAACCTCAATCAACAACCCAAACTTTTGTGGAAGAGAAAGGATTTGTTCAACTGATTTTAGAATATGTATTATGATACAAAGAGTCAAGAATAGTCAATAGAAAATAAGATGACATAGTACCTGCCCTGAAGATATCAACACCTTTAAAAATTAAAATAATTTGAAGAATGTAGTATTAACAGAAAATTAAACATAGACCAATTAAATATATACCAATGGAACAGGATAGAAACCCTGACAATAGCCCATGACACATACTGACCTATGATTATGGCTGTGGCAAATGTTAACAACTCACAACTGAACTTTTCCCAGAATACCCTTAAGTGATTAGAACCACCTAACCCCAAGATACCTGGAAATTATGGTCTCCAACCTGAGGATTCTAAGATCCAATGCCCAATATATTGGTATATAAAATCCTTACTCCTTTGCTTCAGACGGTATAGAGCCTGTAATACAGAGCAATTACTGTTCCAAATCTCTTTATGGATCAAGCCAATAGACTTCCCCTCTAACCACAAGTTTGCTTAGCATCCCACTTCACATAAATTTCCTTCTCCAATTGACAGTTTCTCCTAATAATGATTTATAATAAAATTATTGCCCCATATTTTTCAATCTCCACTTCAAAGTTAAATGCAAATTAAAATATTAGAGACATATACCAATGGAACAGGATAGAAACCCTGACAATAGCCCATGACATATACTGACATTATCTTCCAAATAAACTGACATTAGCTAGATGATAAATAGATGAAGATGACAGGTAAAAAGATGAGAGAGAGAGAGAAAACACAGTATAGGTTATACGTGTACAAAATCATCAAATTATACAAAATAGTTTATAAAATATGTGTGTATATGTATAAAATCTTCAGAGTAGATGAGTAGTACATTGAACAGTCACACATTTTCAAAGTGCCTCAGTAAATGGGTCAGTCAAATTTCTCTATGGGAAAGAATTGATGATATGTACCAAAAAGTATAAAAGTAGTTCAGTAATTCAACAGGTAATTCTACCTGTATAATATTGCATGAATTCATATCGATAAATTAACAAAAAAAGATGTAGTAAAAGGTAGGTATGTATATATAGATATATATAGATATGGATATTTAATGTGGCAGCATTTATAATCATTATAAGTATAAAAGGTTAACGGCCAAAACAAGGCTTTACTATAGCATTTAAGATACACTTTCAATAATTATTTAAGGATTTGAGTGGGAAGAGGCAGGATCCAAAACTACATATGTTAATATATTCCACTGTTGCTTAAAGTGAAAATATATTTATGGATGACATGGAAAAAAATCTGTAAGGAAATAAAGACAATCAAAATAAGAACCATTCTCACTTCCAAATGGTAAAGTTATGATAAATGTGCTTTTCATTATGCTTTCCTATAAGTTGTAAAATCTATGATTGGCATGTATAATTTTTATAATCTAAAATATATATATATATATTTAAAAGAATCCTAGGCTTGTAATTCAGCTTTGAAATCATTTAACTTAAATATTTTGATTGACTCTTTTTTTAAAGATTTATTTATTTATGCATAGAAGAGCCGGGGTGCAGGCCAGAGATGCTGGGTGGGGAGACAGGACAGGCAGATCTACTGAAATACTCTGCTGAGGGAAGCAGCAGGTGAGACAGGAGAGGTGGGTCCCCTGGCTGGGGATCAAACTCCTGCTGAGAGTGGCTGCAGTTAGCATCATAGTCCTGTGTCTTAACCCCTCGCACCACCAGGGAGGCCCTCATTCACTTTTTCATAATGATTATGTCACAGAAGATAAAATTATTAATTTTTACTATAAATAACTTATCTAACTTCAGAAAAATTTGATTATAAAAGTGCTTTTTCAAATTAAATAGGTATTTGATTTTTGGTAAATATGTCATAGGATAAATAGCCATTATAATTGAAAACTTCTGGAACTTGACAGTTATTGGAGAGAGGCTAAATTAAATGTCTGAATTACCACCAACTCTGTTGTTCTTTGGCCCATGACTCCCACTGAACATTTCTAGTCTGTATCTTGGTCTGTGGGGCACACCCAGGGACCTACTCTAAGGTCTGTGAGATGCAATGCAGTGCTGATCACAGAAAAATGATCAGTGATGCTGGACACTCAATTACAGTTATTTTATTTCACAAATAAAAGTTAAAGCAAGTCAATATTGCTTCAAGAATGATTTGAAATGGCTGTAATGCAACTTAATGCAAGGAATACCCAGAAGGTCACTCTTATTTTCCACTTAACTAATTTAGGAATAAAAATTTTACAAACAGAAGGCACTCAGAGACCAACTAGCTCACCTCCATCTTTTTTTCAAATGAAACTGAGGCAGGGCTAAGAAACTTGTACAAGTCTACTTATGACAGAAACTCTCTGTGTCTAATTCCATGATTGTTTTAATATCCAGTTCTGCTCAACTACCAAGATGAGAAATGGTTAAGTTTATGATGTCTAGCATTAAGAAAAAGAAGTTACATAAAGAAGGAAAAATAACTAAAAAATGAATTGCATGCTGGGTAATCATCACTACCTTGGAGGAAAAACAAATCATGCTTTCTGTTTCCTAAACAGAAAGTGGTTTCTATGTGGTTTGGCCACATTCATCATTAACTTTACAACTAAAATTCTGTAAGTGATTAGCAAGGGTCAATTTTTCTTCTGTTAATGAGCCAATGTGCAAGTACTACCTCTAGTTAATTCATTTTAACAATCAAGCCAGTGTTTCAACTTGGATTCTGATACATGAAAAATAACAAAATTTTTAAACTCAACCCTGGCAGATCCTACTTAACAACCTATAATTTAAAAAATAGCAAACAAGGAGTCACTCACCTCATCACCTCATGTACTAACAAACACAATTCCAATAGCAAAACAAAGTGAAGCAGGGTTTTTTTACTGCTTATAAATTTTAAGTTGAGAACACAATGATGTGTGAAGAGATTTATTAGTGACTAGGTAGGTGAATGCTGATTTTAAGAGAGCCTTCTGTGTTGTTCTAAGTTGTGCCTTCAATAATGAATATATAACTTTACACATATTGCACACAGAAAAATTACTGGTAAATCATGAATCAGAATTATCAACATTTTGAATTATAGTAACTTTTAATATGTTATATTTATGTTTATTTACATTGTCTTGTTTCTACTGTGGGCTAAGGGTAACTTGCAAAAATATATAAAGTATAGCAGAGAGAAAAAATTTAAAGTTTTAAAGAAAAATGTAAAAGTAAAATTAGCTCAGGAATGTTTAAAGAAACCAGATATAAGGGAAATGAGGAGAGGAAGAAAAGTCTAAATATGGGCCTCCCCGGTGCCTCAGCAGCAATGTGAAGCTGTCCACAGG